TGTACAGTACATTACAAATGTATTTATATTACACTGGCGACTGGGCCTTCTGAGACATCTGGCTAGCTACAGGCTAAAGCTAATGATAACAATCTAGTCACAGGCTAAAGCTAATGATAACAATCTAGCCACAAGCTAAAGCTAATGATAACAATCTAGCCACAGGCTAAAGCTAATGATAACAATCTAGCCACAAGCTAAAGCTAATGATAACAATCTAGCCTCAAGCTAAAGCTAATGATAACAATCTAGCCACAGGCTAAAGCTAATAATAACAATCTAGCCACAAGCTATAGCTAATGATAACAATCTAGCCACAGGCTAAAGCTAATGATAAAAATCTAGCCACAGGCTAAAGCTAATGATAACAATCTAGCCACAGGCTGAAGCTAATGATAACAATCTAGCCACAAGCTAAAGCTAATAATAACAATCTAGCCACAGGCTAAAGCTAATGATAACGATCTAGCCACAGACTAAAGCTAATGATAACAATCTAGCCACAAGCTAAAGCTAATAATAACAATCTAGTCACAAGCTAAAGCTAATAATAACAATCTAGCCACAAGCTATAGCTAATGATAACAATCTAGCCACAGGCTAAAGCTAATGATAACAATCTAGCCACAAGCTAAAGCTAATGATAACAATCTAGCCACAGGCTAAAGCTAATGATAACAATCTAGCCACAAGCTAAAGCTAATGATAACAATGATCTAACAGTCTAATAGAAAATACATCCCTGATTCTCCAACCTGATTCAAACAAAATAATAGTGTTAGCATGTATCAAATGTTATTAAGGCGTAATAGCAACTCAAATATATCCAAACATCTATCATTAATACAGAAGGAAAAATAAACATTTGAATATAAATGAAAGGATTTTAATGAATTATAAAACGTTCCTCTCCCCAGTGGAATGAGTAACAAAAGGAAAAAGGAAATTAATAACTTAATATTTATAATAGTCCTGGAGAAGCCTGAACAAAAGAAGAAGAAAGTAAGGTGGAGCTGGAGGACCAAACTACTTATAGCAGACAGAGGAACACAAGAAGAGTGAAGTGTAAATGGAGAAATACATTAAAGAAAACATTTTGTGAAAATATACAACTATTAATAGAGACCCAATTATCCCTGTGCTGACTGGTTTATGTACTTTCAGTCTGTTATATCAAATAAATGATTTTAATCTACACAAATTGTAAGAAACAAATTACAGACAAAAAGTCACCATGTTTGATCATAAACAGCAACTTGTCTTGCAAACTTCTAGGTAACCATGGCAGCAATAAACAAATAAACAAAAGCTCCCATTGCAGGTTTCTCGTTGCCTCCCCCTCTTCAGAAAAACAACACAGCATAAAAAACTTAGCTAAGAATCAGAGCAGTTGACTGGGCCAGTTTAGTTACAAAGGTAATATCAGGAAGTTTGTTTCACCACTAAATGCACAGAACTGGACACAAAGTCAAGAAATTCTGCTCCTAAATTTACATTATTATTATCTTGAATTCTTACCTGTGAAAGGTAAAAGCAGTGGGTCCACTTTGTGCTGTAAAACCGTTGAAATGAATCTTTGCAGCATGTTCTCTCCACTGCCACTTTCAAGATGGCGGCGATGTAAGTAGGACTCAGTATATTCATATTAATGCCTATTGTCCAATCAACGATTTCTCAGGTCTCACACTGGGACACACCTCTCCTGTTTTGTTAATGTAACATTTTTGTAATTTTTTTCCCCAACAGGACATTTGAATCCCTGGGGGAAGTGGAAGACTGAATTTTTGATAACAGGATTTCTCTTTTTTGGACTTGGCAGTTCTCTAGTATATCATAAAATTCAGAAAACATTGGCAGCTGTTCTACCCATTGACAGGCTGCCTGTCTTATATAAGAAAATGCCTTGCTGTGAATAATCAGACTCAGATGCTGCGTGAGCAGAACCACAAACAAGAACTGGTTCTTACTGAGAGGAACAGTTCAGTTGCAGTTCCTGAACCCTAATGGCAGGAGGAACAGACATTGGAGAATTTACAAGCTCAGCTCAGCAGAACTGATCATAAGTTTGGTATTGAGGTGAATCAGTGAGAACAATTATTGTAATCTGAGTCTGGCTCCCCACTGAGATGCTGGTTCCCTTCCCTCATCCTCCCCCAGAACAACCCAGGTTGCTGCCTTGCTCACTGACCTCACACCAACTCATTTCTCCCTCTCCAATATAACATGTCCTGTTTATTATATTGACACCAAGTTGCTTTTCATATGCAGAGGTTTATTGCAACCTCACACTGAATCCTTAGACAGTTAGAACATCAGTCTTCAGAAACAAATGAACAGTAACATAAATCTTTTTAAGCTTGATAATAGTATTTTCTACCATCATAATGTTAAAAATAATAATAGTACATGACTGAATACCAAAATGATTCACATTATTTTATTTCAGGAAGGGAAAAAAGACCAAAACATGCAGACAAGATGATGTAATGACTGATAAACACTTTGGTTTCTGATGGGTTTGAGGCAACAGGCTGAACTAAGAGCAGCAGGTCACTGGCAGAGGATAAACTGTCATGTAACATATTTGCTTTTGCTTTGGTGAAACCAAATCAAGGTTTAATTAAGGCAGAATATCTGATAAATCATGGATTAATCTTCTGTCCTTATTTTGGGAAACAACTCAAAGTTTGAATCCAGGAAACATGAAGTAATTAATTCAGAGAAAAACCAAAGAAACATCAGCTGTTCATCACTAATGTAATAATCCTGAAGATTAAACTTTAAAAGGAAGAGAGATGAAACTTTGACCAGAAATCAAAAGTGGATTTTCTAAAAACACCAGAGAGAAAAAACAAACAAGAAAATCAAAGTTCAATTAGGAAAAAACAAGAAAACTTACAGTTTGATCAAATGATCCAAAGAGTTGATGAAGAATATATGAACAACAGTCTGACTCTAAAACTGAAAGTAAATGTGAGGGATGTGGTGGGACTGATGACATCACAACTCACATGATTTTTAGTTTCTTCTTTCAGAGCAGCAGAAAATCTGCAGTGAAATTAGAGACATGTTGATAAAACCTTCATGAGGAAAAGAGAAGTTCAGATGAAAATGTTTCATGATGGAATCATGAGGAGAAAAAAGTCCAGAGAAAAATAACAACTGATTCCTGCAGAAGAACTGAACTGATTATAAATACAAACAGGAAATAATCAGAAAGATCCAACAAATTAATCAGTAGTTATTTCTGAATCATGATTCATTTCATATTCCTGGGTAAAAGTTACTCAAGACATCAAAATATACAAATAATATGAATTATAATTTACTAGAAGTTACCAGTGGAAAACCACAAGGGTCAGAACTGGATCCTAAACTTTTATTACTTTACATAAATAATTTATGCAATGAATCTAATTTGTTAACATTTACTTTATTTTCTGATTCATTATTTTGATCTGGTCAGTTTGGAGCAGCAACAGTTTAATGGAAGGAGAATTACAAATATTAATGATGTGACAAAAATAGATTAACACAAAATTATAGAAACATTTTAATATTTAGTAACAAGAAAATAAATAAATGAAAGTGCAAACTTGAAAATGTTCTGATTTAGTAGAGATCAGAACAACATTGATTATTTACAAAGTCTATAATAAACTTTCATGGTGTAAAGAAATATTGTTAGAAATGAAAGAAAAAAACTAAATTAATAAAAAATGAATTATTTAGGATTAATATTAAAACAATTCTAGTTTAGTTTGAGGGATTTCTAGTTTGCAATAATTGAGTGAAAAGATTAAAGTGTTTTTGTCTCTTTAAAATATTTGCTGAACAAATAAAATAAAGTTTATGATGTTTTTGTGAGTTTATCTACAAACTTAGCTGGAAATCTCAGATCTGGAAAAAGAATTTTAACTGAGACTTTACTGAAGCTTGATGTTCAGTTGGTCCAAATCTGAAGTTGATCCAAATCAGTCTGATGCTGGAACAGAAGTCAGAGTCATCAGGGAACAGCCTTCAATTGGTCCAGCTGTGTTACACACAATGGATCAGAACCGGAACCAGAACCAGGCCTGTGTGTTCTGTGCAGTGAGAGACTGGTGTATTCAGTGTTTCTGGGCTTTGAACCCTCATCCATTTTACTTGTATGTCAGCGGTGGAGCAGGAAGAGGAAAATCCCAGCTGATTAAATGTATTGATCTGAAGCAAGCACTGCTCTGGATCATCAGATCCATCAGTCGCCTCTTCTACTGATGGAGAGGAGGCTGACATATCAGACCAAACTGTCATGTTGACGTCATTTACAGGAACAGCAGCTTTTTCTATCAATGGCTGTTTGTTACATTCACTGCTCAAACTACCCAGGAGTCTAAAACCTCCATTCAACGACTTGATACTCAACTAGATGAAGTCAGATTTCAGCTTTTAGATGCTGAAATTGTTGCTACTGATGATATTTCAGTGGTTTCAAAACCTCTTTCTGCTGATGTGGATGCAAGACAGAAAGAAAAGGAAATCACTGAGATTTTGGAGGAAAATCTGTTTCAGGGTCGTTGGGAAAAAACTCAAAGTTGTTTCCCAACGACTTTGGGAAACAAAGTCGTTGGGAAAGGGAAAATGATTTCCATCAAGGGAAATTAAACATTTAAAAATATGTTTATCATTGCAATTATGAGAACATTTGAAATGTTGAGCACACAGAAATTATAATTGAAAATTAAAATGAGATGTTTTCAGAGGTAAATATCAATATTATTTGGCTGTTGTCTTAAAAATGTCATGTGGTGCAACCGTGACTTATCTTAGAATAAAGTATTTTTAAAAAATGTATGTTCAATTTTATTTCAGGTGTTTAAAAACAAATAGTTTTTAATTGTATTCATATTTTTCTGACAATTATGACAGTTTTTTCCAAAAAATGAACCAGTTCCATTATATAATTGTATTATATTTTCTTCATCATTTCATCAAACTGTGTTTAAAATAATAAAACACCATTCACTTGAAGATACTTTATTAGAGATTAATATTTCTGCTCCAGAAATTAGATATTCCATTTTCTCCTGCTTCAATACATTTACTTATTTATTGGTCGCACCAAATGATTTATATAATAAATGTCGGCCAGTAAACGGGTCAAAATCCTTTAAAAAATAAAAATATTATTTCATCAAGTAACAGTACATTACAATAAACACAAATCAAACTCACCAATTTAATTCACATAAAAATTAATGCAGTATCAACTTTGTAACAAACATTTCAAATAGATCCTCATAAAATCTGAATGTTCAGTAGATTGATTTTATTTTCTGAACTTTTCAAAGTTTTACTTTAAAAACTTAATAAAAACAGAAATGTTCAATCTCCCAAATGTAAGAACAATAATGACAATAGAATAATTCAGTTTAATGTGATTATTTGAAGCAGAACCAAGTATGATCAATAATGTAATCAATAATCAATAATGTAATCAATAATCAATAATGTAATCATTCACAAGTTCCCCAAATGTTGCTTCTTTCAAAAAGGAAAAGATTTCAATGAACTCTAAACCTCATATTACTCCTGGGTAGAGACGCTTCCATCAGGGTTTTTCCTGCCGGTTCTGATCACCATGAGGTCCGATCACTGCCGATCACAGATATCGATCACAGATATCGATCACCTGGATTGGCTGTTAATGTTTCGCTTTAGGTAGAAATGCTACTATGTGATCTGGCAAAATGGAGCCATAAAATCACCTAATTTAGACAAAAACATGAACAATACTTGCAGCTCATGGCTGATTGTTCTGGTTCTGATGGTTTGGTTCTGACCCAGTAGAGTAATTCAGCAGAACACAGAGAGGAGGCAGAGGAAGTCCATTTGTTCTCTCAGATTATCTCATGTTAGGACATAGAGAAAGTTACATTAAAACTGTTTTAAAGTTTCCTACTCAGTACCGCATAGCGGTGAAAATCAAAAAAGAAAATCAAAATCTGGATTCTGGAATAATCCTGGAATAATCCCAGCTTCCATCTTTAAAGGACTGGAAGAAGAAAAAGTTTCCAAGGACTCAATCAGAATCGTTTCACCAAGAAATAGATTGTAGAGACTGAACTATCTGTTCAACAGTGAGAGAGTTTCTCTGACAGGAGGAAAAACTTTAGACTCTTTAGACTCAAATCAGCTCAGAAACACTGAAGAACCAGAACTGAACCAGAACCCAAATCCAGGAATCAGAGGTTCAGTGAATGTGGTGTTGAAGGTGTGGAGGAGGATCAGTGAGTCAGAGGAGACTCTGTAGAAGGACAGAATGCCAGCAGGACAGTCCACATACACTGCTACTCTGTTAGAGACAGAGGAGGAGGAGAGACGAGTTTTTATGTTATTGTGCATGACAGAGAAACCAACACGATCAGAGCATCTCAGACTCCAGGAATGATTATTATATCCAAACCAACAGTCTATACTGTTTCCTTTCCTCCTGATTCTTCTGTAACTCACTGATATATCAACATTTCCTCTCCACTCAACCTCCCAGTAACAGCGACCAGTCAGACCAGTTCTACACAGAAGCTGATTCCAGTAATCAAATCTGTCTGAATGATCAGGATATGACTGAAACTCCTCCACACGTGTCACCTTCCTGTTGCCTTCAGACAGTTGGAGGTTTCTGTTCACTGTGTTTGTGTCGATGGTGAGTTGACAGGAATCTGATGGAGAACAAACACAATCCAGCTGCAGTTATTGATCATTTATTGACACTTTGACTCCTGAATGAGTGATGTGACAGTTTGAAGATGGTTGAATGTGAGCTGCTTTGTTATGAATCAGATGAAAAACACACTTACATTTCCTCAGACCTGGAGTCAAGAATCGGCCTCCAGCAGGCTCCACCCTGAAAGGAGGAGGGGGGTCAGACCATCAGTCTCTTTCAGCAGCAAACATGGACATTACATGTCTCTCAGACACACATTGACCTCCACTGAGACAGGAACAGTCCAACATCTGGACCGCAAACTGCAGTGGATGTAGGAAGCACAGTTGGTGCTGCTGCAGCACAACTCATTTCTCCAAACACAGGAAAAGCTCCAACAGAGAGGAGAAAGGAAATCCCTCAGTAACAACCTGAAGAAACTCACTGAAGCCTAAAGGACATCAGGAAACTAAAGAAACATTTCTGGAAGCTCCACCTGATTTAATAATCAGCATTAAAATACAATCAATCTAAACTCTGATCAACACCTGGATACCTGATCCATCCACACTCCCACACACAGATGAAGGAATGAAACACTAAACAGCCCTGCTGCTGAAAACCTGCTGTGGCCTCACTGTAATATCCAGAAATACAACATTCAAAAGGAGAAGCTGCATCACATTCAACAAACTAAATGTTTTCCAGCAGACTGACTAAAGACATTTGTCCCTCTTCCTCCTCTATCAGACCTTCTCTGCTCCTGCAGCAGGTTCCTCCATACCTGAGAGCTTCCAGTCTCCAGTGTGGATCCTTCAGTCCAGCCGACAGCAGCTTCACTCCTGAGTCTCCTGGATGATTGTAGCTCAGGTCCAACTCTTTCAGATGGGAGGGGTTGGAGGTCAGAGCTGAGGCCAGAGAAGCACAGCCTTCCTCTGAGACCAAACAGCCTGATAAGCTGCAGACACACAATTCATCACGATGAGAAAATGAGAAGATTGAGGTAGAAACCAAGGTCTGAACTGATGGATGGATGGATGGATGGATGGATGGATGGATGGATGGATGGATGGATGGATGGATGGATGGATGATGGATGATGGATGATGGATGGATGGATGGATGGTGGATGGATGGATGGATGGATGGATGGATGGATGGATGGATGGATGGATGGATGGACGGATGGCCCAGAGTTACCTGAGAGTTTCCAGGTTGCAGTTTGGATTCTTCAGTCCAGCAGAGAGAAGCTTCACTCCTGAATCCTGCAGGTTGTTGTTACTCAGGTCCAGTTCTCTGAGACTGGAGGACTGGGAGCTGAGAACTGAGGACAGAGCTTCACAGCTTCTCTCTGAGAGGTTACAGCCACTCAGTCTGAGGAGACAGGGAGGAAAATCTATTAAACAAATTACAAATATTTATTTGTTTATTTCCAGGCAATAATATCCTTCTTGGAAAAATTGAAAGGACTTTTTACATCAGACATTTTTATGTTGACTTTTTTTGTGACCTGGATTATTTTGTAGATGATCCTCCTGTCTTGAGGGACTGAACTACAGAGAACAAGGAGGCTGGCAAGAGAAACATTACAATCCACCATGAACTGAATTAATCCAGAACAGAAAGAGTTCAGTAGAAATCTAGGCTGAAGAACAGCATCAGGGTTTGAGGGAAAACAGCAATTTCAAGCAAAGCAGAAAGAATCTCAAATTTCATCTTTCCCTTTTTCAACTGGATGCAAAGATGGAAAACTGAGCAGCAACTGACAGAAACTATTCCTTTGAGCAACAAGTTAACTATTCAGCTTCAAACTAAATGTTTCCCAGCAGACAGACTAAAGACATTTCTCCCTCTTCCTCCTCTATCAGACCTTCTCTGCTCCTGCAGCAGGTTCCTCCATACCTGAGAGCTTCCAGTCTCCAGTGTGGATCCTTCAGTCCAGCCGACAGCAGCTTCACTCCTGAGTCTCCTGGATGATTGTAGCTCAGGTCCAACTCTTTCAGATGGGAGGGGTTGGAGGTCAGAGCTGAGGCCAGAGAAGCACAGCCTTCCTCTGATACCAAACAGCCTGATAAGCTGCAGACACACAATTCATCACGATGAGAAAATGAGAATATTGAGGTAGAGACCAAGGTCTGAACTGGATATTTTCATGAGAGAATAAAAGTCAATAAATGAACCTGTCAATCAGATGAAATAGTAATAACACTCTAATTCCTTTACACAAGTAATAAAAATCAACATTTGTCACTTAGAGAATGTATCAGAACAGAAACTTCCTTCATTGATCCACAGCAGGGAGTTCAAGTTTACCAGCAACAAGTTTAAGGTAAATGGAAGAATTAGAAATTCAAGAATAATTAAAAACAAATAAATAATAGGAGATTGTAGAACAAGGACACATCTACAACAGAGGAATAATAATTCTGTACATTTAATAAAAACGGCATAAGCAGTTTGAAAAAAATGTGCAGCTGAGGAGAGCAATTTATAATCATATGTAAGATGTGTATATTTGTATTTTTGAAACAGCAATAGACTATTTAGAAGACACTTAAAAAGATACATGTAACAGCCAGTATATAAATAATTAATGAGTTTTATTGGAAGCAGTTCTCTTTAGAAAGTCTAACAACTGCTGGGATGAAGGATCTGCAATAATGCTCTTTTTTCTTACAGAGCTGGATTGCAGGAGTCTTTGTTTATTCTGAGTGTTTCAGTGGCCTGTTATTCCTATAGATAGTTTTATAGTTGATGCATTTAAAACCAGGAGAGTGGACCAATCACACAGCTGGTGCCCCTACATGTTGCCTCATGCTGCCACTGCTTGATCTCTGAACCTGGATCACCTGCACCTCTTTTCACTCTGGACACAGGCTGACCTGTATGGACATGGTCAGCCCGTAAATCCCAGGTGGGTCAGGGGGCCTGGATCCCCCAATCTTGGAATTGCCCCACTGAAGAAATCATAACAACAACCTTTGTATTTACCTGTCTATGAATACATAGAAAGGTGTATTCATAGAGATATAAAAATATAAATTTATTTATATTTAGCAATGGATTCCAACAGAAGCTTTTTATATATTTATATAAAAATCTTCTATTGGCTTTTTATATAAATATAAAATATAAATATAAAAAGCCAATAGAAGCAAAGATTGAAGTAAATCTTTCATTCATCTAAGAAAAGAATAAGAATTAATTTTAGGTCCTCCACATCATTGTTAGAACAATGGTTCAGTCCAAAGTATAGGGGGAACAACAGCAAAGGCTCCAGTAGAGTCGCTGAAGTGAGGAGCTAGCTGTTAGCTGTGGCTCTGCAGCACAAACAAAAAAACCCTCCACTAAATAAATAGTTAAAGCTAAAGGCAAGGACCACATTTGACTTACTTTCACTGCTCAATAAGAAGAAACACACTTACAGAGCGGTGTTTGTTCATTTCATTACTTCAACTGAATCATGATTAACTGCATCGTTATGCCTTAAATCAAAACTAGCAAAAGTGGCTACATTGCTTTCATAAACTTAGCTCCTTTTTCTGTTGAATGTGACCAATATTTCTATTATGTTTATCTCTCCAACTCTTACTTTAATAAGAAGAGTTTGAAACTGGAGGGGCTGAGTGTGACCACTAGCCGACAGCTCCGTATGTGAGCTGAGAGCAGAGGGGCTATTGAAGCTGATAGTAATACAAAATAATGCCTTTATTTCTTAATCTTATCATCTTCGACATAGAGCCTATAAAATCCAAAAAATAAAATCTAAATATTTTTCTACAAAACTCTGGTCCTGAGCTTTAAGTTTCATTCATGACATCCCAAATCTTCAATTTCTACATATTTATAGGTTCTCAGCTGTGCAGGAGATTAACCCCACCTCCCACCACTTGTTCCACATCCTTTCACAGTTCCACTCTGGTATTCATTGAGTTTCTGAGAGCAACTCAGTCTTTCACAAATGTTTGTAAAAACAGTCTACATGCCTAGGTGCTTACTTTCATACACCTCTGGCATGGAAGTTATAGGAAAACCTGACTCTCATCACTTGGATGGGTGGTCAAAATAGTTTTGGCAATCTCTACTGGCAGCTAGTGGATAGAAATCACCAGGATTGAGAACATTTTACCTGAGAATTTCCAGGTTGCAGTTTGGACTCTTCAGTCCAGCAGAGAGAAGCTTCACTCCTGAATCCTGCAGGTTGTTGTTACTCAGGTCCAGTTCTCTGAGACTGGAGGACTGGGAGCTGAGAACTGAGGACAGAGCTTCACAGCTTCTCTCTGAGAGGTTACAACCACTCAGTCTGAGGAGAATGGGAGGACAATGTGGTATTAAACAATTCTGCAAAATTTATGTTCTTTCATATCAACAATGTTTCTTTTGGAAAGAGAAGGAACTGTCTTATTTTACACAACTTTTGTCTTTTTGTGAACTGGTTGATTCTGTAGTTGGGCCTCCAACCTTAAAGAGCCGAACTACAGGCAACAAGGAGGTTGGAAAGATTATTATAAAATTCTACAATGAATTGCATTAATCTCATTTCAATTTTAACAAAAAGTGGAGGATTTTTTCTGATAGAATATGTAACACTATGTCCAGCTGATGAAGGAAGTTTGTTTCTTTTTGTGCATCTCCCCCCCACGGGACACTTTGAAGAGACAACGCACCAATATATAAATTGAAACATGAATATTCAATTTATATATTTTTTACTTCATAATTAGCAGATTTATATCAATCTGATCATTTGGATGAATATGACCCATCCAAATGGGTTGTATTTAAATGAATTAACAATGTGTGTCCTTACAGAGTTTTGTTGGAGGCTTTAACCACTAGCAGCCTCAGAAGAACCTCCTCTGAAGCAGAGTATTTCTTCAGGTCAAACACATCCAGATCTTTTCCTGATGACACTAAGATGAAACCCAGAACTGACCACTGAGCAGGAGACAGTTTATCTGTGGAGAGACTTTCTGAACTCAGAGACCATTTGATCTCGTTAACTAGAGAACGATCATTCAGTTCATTCAGACAGTGGAACAGATTGATGCTTTTCTCTGCAGACACATTCTCACTGATCTTCTTCTTGATGTACTGAACTGTTTCCTGATTGGTCTGTGAGCTACTTCCTGTCTGTGTCAGCAGACCTTGTAGGAGTCTCTGATTGGTCTGCAGTGAAAGTCCCAGGAGGAAGCGGAGGAACAAGTCCAGGTGTCCATTTGGACTCTGTAAGGCCTGGTCAACAGCTCTCTGATGGAGAGACTTTGGTTTAGAGTCGCTGAATAATGAAAGGCTCTCAGATGTTTGTGTTTCTTCCATCAGGTTGACTCCAGAGTTGATGAAGGTCAGATGAACATGAAGAGCAGCCAGAAACTCCTGAACACTCAGATGGATGAAGCAGAACACCTTGTCCTGGTACAGACCTCTCTCCTCTTTAAAGATCTGTGTGAACACTCCTGAGTACACTGAGGCTGCTCTGATATCGATGCCACACTCTGTCAGGTCTGATTCATAGAAGATCAGGTTTCCTTTCTGCAGCTGATCAAAAGCCAGTTTTCCCAGAGACTCAATCATCTTCCTGCTCTCTGGACTCCAGTGTGGATCTGTTTCAGCTCCTCCATCATACTTGACCTTCTTCACTTTGGTCTGAACCACCAGGAAGTGGATGTACATCTCAGTCAGGGTTCTGGGCAGCTCTCCTCCCTCTCTGGTCTCCAACACATCCTCCAGAACTGTAGCAGTGATCCAGCAGAAGACTGGGATGTGGCACATGATGTGGAGGCTTCGTGATGTCTTCATGTGGGAGATGATCCTGCTGGCCTGCTCCTTATCTCTGAATCTCTTCCTGAAGTACTCCTCCTTCTGTGGGTCATTGAACCCTCTGACCTCTGTCACCATGCCAACACACTGAGGAGGGATCTGATTGGCTGCTGCAGGTCGTGTGGTTATCCAGAGGAGAGCAGAGGGAAGCAGTTTCCCCTGATGAGGTTTGTCAGCAGAACATCCACTGAGGTGGACTCTGTAGCATCAGTCAGGATCTCCTTGTTGTGGAAGTCCAGTGGAAGTCGACTCTCATCCAAGCCATCAAAGATGAACAGAACCTGGAAGTGTTCAAAGCTGCAGATTTCTTTGGTTTCACTAAAGAAATGATGAACAAGTTCCACCAAGCTGAACTTTTCTCTTTCAGCACATTCAGCTCTCTGAAGGTGAATGGAAATATGAACTGGATGTTCTGGTGGGCTTTGTCTTCAGCCCAGTCCAGAGTGAACTTCTGTGTTAGGACTGTTTTCCCAATGCCAGCCACTCCCTTTGTCATCACTGTTCTGATTGGTTGATCTCTTCCAGGTGGGACTTTAAAGACGTCTTCTTGTCTGATTGTTGTTTCTGGTCTGTGTGGTTTCCTGGATGCTGTTTCAATCTGTCTGACCTCATGTTCATCATTGACCTCTCCAGTCCCTCCCTCTGTGATGTAGCTCTGTGTAGATCTGGTTCAGAAGGGTTGGACTTCCTGCTTTAGCAATCCCCTCAAACACAGACTGAAACTTCTTCTTCAGACCAGATTTAAGTTGATGTTGACAAACTGAAGCAAGATGTTCTAAGTTAACACAAAATGTAAAATCAGCAACTAGATAAAATCGTCTTTTGAACATTATTTGAATAAATTTGATTGTAGTAAATGTCCGATTTATCAATCAGTTGAAATATCTGTAGAAATCCTCTTACTGCTCTGCAGACGGTCAGCCAGCTTCTCCTGCTTCATCCTCCTCAGGAAGTTCAGTGTGATCTTCATCACTGCGTCTCTGCTGCTCATCCTCTGTTCTTCATCCTCACCTCCCAACACATCATCATCTTCTCTCAGACTTTGTGAGCATCCTGGAACATCTGGTGTCAGAACTTTCTGGATTTTCTTCAGCTCGTTCTTCACAAAAGTGACAATGTTGTCTTCCAGCAGCTGGAACAGAATAATAAATAAAGGAAACATCTTGCTGAAATAAATCACAGAGCCCAACAGCAGATGAATATTCTCTGGTCTACAAAGCACAGCATGGAGATGAATGTGAACAGAACCCATAAAAAAGTAGTTGTACATTTACAGACCCAAAATATGGAGTCCAGCTGTGTTTGATGGTGCTGGACAGATGGACCACTGGGAACCTCAGAGCTCTGCTGGTCCACTCTGTGGAGGAACCAGGAACAATTAGGAAGTCAGGAAATATTCATCCAGCAGTTTTCACAGAGGAAATCACCAAGAGTTTCACATTAAAATCCTTAAAGCATAAAAACAGAGCATCACATAAACACAATACAAAGAAAGAAAAAGAGGAATATAAATTACAAAGAAGAAGACCAGTAACGCCAGAATCACCCAGTAGACATTTTAAAAAGTTGGTGCTGAACTTTGACTTCATTCCACACTGTCAGCAGATCTGATGTTGATGGAGACAGAGTCCCAGAGTTTGGGGACAGCAGAAGTGAAGGCTCTATCTTGGTGAGTTGTGATGAAATAATCTCACAATACAATACAACATACAATATTCTTATCACAATACAATATGTATCCCAATATTTGGCAAATGATTCAAAAAAGAACAAGAGTGATTTTAGTGACATTTTGTGTTCCATAGACTTGGATTTAATTAACTGAAAACTGATTAAAAGCACCAAATACACAATATCCAACTCTGATTGGACGGAGTCTAACAGTCTACAGGTTGATAAAATGAATCAAAGATAAAGTGAGAAAATTAGTTTGTGTCATTTAATTCATGTGGATTTGACATAAAACTCAAAGTTTGCACAGTGATTCAAAAGCTTCAATATGCAAATGATTGAACTTCTTTTTTTCTTTTGGACATACAGTGGCTGCATTTTGGAGTAAAAAAAAGTATCTTGGTCTCTAGGGAAAAGGCTGTTTACTACTAGCTGCTGGGGGAGTGGCTCTGCATCACCCCGTAGTTTTGACTCCTAGCATTTGCTAAGTGCCTCCATTCCCCTGCTTAGATCTCTGAGTTTCTGCCTCTCAGACTGCCAGGATCTCATCGTAATCTCAGTCTCTGATTCTCTTTGTCAGTTGCTAATAAAAATGATCGATCCGCCATCGTCATCATGGCAAACCTCACTGCATCCAGACTGTACCTGCAGGTTTCCCCTCTTCGTTTTCCAGCTCTAAACAGAACCACTACATGTTCATTCTAAAGGTAATCCTTTATGTACGAGAACAGAAACTACTAAGTTAAAAAGAAATTACAAAGTGGATGCCACCAGTCGCTCTGATATCCAAACTGTGCATTAATTTCTCAGTCTCACTGTTTTTCCTGCTACTCTTTATTTAATTTCTTAGCTGCAAAATACAGCCCATCAATATTTACTGAAGATTTGAGATTTCCAGAACAAAGGAATCTAATGTGTTTCATTTTATTTACATTTGGAAGCTCATTCCCTTTCACATAACCGGAAAAGCTGTTTTTTGACATTTCTCTGCCATTCGGAAAAATATGGTTTACTTATTTTAGCATAACTCAGTTTTTACTTTGCCTATTAACACAATTTAAAAACTGGTGTGTAGTTTAAAATGTGCACTTTAAGACTGGGGAGGTGGAGTCTTACTGCTATGCCGTCACAAATCAGACATTTTAAAAAGACAGTAGAAGCCTATAGACCCCTATAGTTTAACATATCGATACTCGCAGATGAAAAATCAATACCTTAAGAGGGTGGAAAGAATCGTTAAATATTGTAGAATCAAGATAATTACACAGCCCTAGTTCTGTCCACACAGGTCTTCAGGATAGTGTAGGACATTCATCAGGCTCTAATGACTAGATCTGAGGTGATGTGGGTTTGTGTCCATCTGGATCCTCTACTGGATCCAGAAGATTTACAATGGATCAGATCCAAGATTTAATGTTCCTGCTGATCCCATTAAGAACCAGCAGAACCTCTGATGGTCCACATCAGCTCAGTTTGGTTGAGTTCCAGCAGATCTCACCAACCACATCATGAAGCTTTCCTTCCCTGCTGAGCTGCTCTCACAATGCACACAGGAACCAAGTCCTGATGGACCAGAATGGCTTTACCAGGTATTTCCCAGTGGAAATGTGATCCACTCTTAGTCTGGGTGGAGAATGTGGATTTAAATGGACTCGTTTCAATCTGAAGGTCTTTCAATAGTTTTTGCTTCACCAATGATCCCACTGGACTTTATTTATTGATACTGATGTTAACATGAAGACTGTGGGATTATATTTTAGTAGTTTATTACAATATGTTTAATCAGCAGGTATTGAAGCTCAGATGAATTAACTGAGTTTGATCTTCTATAATAACATCATGGTTCTGCTGCTGGTGAAATATTTTGTGCACATGAACGTTTCTGTCCTGGTCATGTTGACAGAACCAGGCTTGGTCTGCAGCTGCAGCAGCAAAATCTCACAAATAAAAACTTCTTATTAGGAAGCAGGACTGATAACCAAACCTGTTCAAAGTAACTCAGATCATTAGTTATGTGAGCAGCGTTAATATTCCAGAAGG